TTTTTAGTAGAGACAGGCTTTCACCATGTTGGCCAGGCTGGTCTCAAACTCCTGACCTCAAGTGATCTGCCCACCTTGGCCTCCCAAAGTGCTGGGATTACAGGCGTGACCCACCATGCCTGGCCTCTACCTTGCTTTTAAAACATAGAGTAGACCTGCAAATGTTTCTCAAATGCTGTATATGCAAGTCCCTTTCTAAAAACACAGCACTTGCTTTTACATCCTACCATTCATTAGTCTCACTCTGCTTACCCAGGGGGTAACTTTGCATCACAAATTCAACTTCTTCAGTTAAATGACATATGCTTTAAGGTATCAGAACTATAACTGATTTAAGTTTATGTTACACTGTCAAACTTTTTCACACTTTTCATGGAGCAAATAAAATACAGCAGGGAACTGATATTTTTCCAACCTGAAGCTCCCCTTTAAGTGACTTAAATCTGTTCTACCATAAGTACTGCCTTCAAGGAATGTCTTTACAAGGAAAACAAAAGGAGCAAGGTTAACACTTGATAAAAGCAGCAAACATCCTGTCTGAAGAACTGCAATCCCACTACACACAAGAAAAACTTAAGAAAGTGTCAAGAAAGCACAACGTACAAGCATTTTCATTAAAACTTTAAAATGAACAGCTCAATAAGGAAAAAAAAAACCAACTTTTAATTGCATGGAAAACCCAGCTATCCCAAATGACTCATTCCCAGACGGGCAGTTTGTGCACTTTTACAGAGAATGGTCCCGCTGCCAAATGTTCACAGCATTGTGGGAAGATCCATTTTAAGCCACATTGTTTACTTACCAGCTCTGAACCAATCCCACTGAAGGGCGGTTAAGTAAATTATCCGGCAGAAGATTAACTTCTCTCATTGTGTTAGCCAGTCGCACGGGAAGTTCCTTTCGTAGAAACATGTATGAAGTTTTCTCACATGCATTATCTCTCCCTATTAAGACATGAAAAATGTTCCATGATTTTATAGTCTAACAGATGGAGAAATAAAGTGCTTCCAGGGTAACATGGTTACTACTGGTTGGGAAGATAAAATTAAATAATCCTACCATCTCTAGTTGAATTTTTATCCTTTGAAATAGCAAGTTCAAGAAAATAATTTAATTAGCAGAGAAAAAGAACATTCATTACAAGAGGCAACATTGAAAGCAGTTTTTTTTTCTTAACACAAAAACGTTCCTAGTGTTACCAGTGGCAATATAAAAGTGGCCTGGGATATAATCTGAACTTGTTTTCAAATAAACACTGTGGGAAAACTGCCAAGTACAAAGGTAATGCAACATGTAAATCCACTCCTGTTCATAGGGGTTTCCAGGAGGCAATGGATCCATTCATTCCACAAGTATTCACCTACTGTGTGTGCCAACTGCTTCCTAAGATTTTCCTCCCCTGTGTTTCTTCAGGAACCATAGTTCTGCCTCTCTGGGAAGTAGCCACAGGCCTCAGGGACTCTGTGATTCCAGAGGAGAGGCTCTGACTGAGACACAGGGCTGGCATGTGCCAGAGAAACATGCCAGAGAAACTATCTCCTGAGTGTACTCAGAGGCAGAGTGATCTACTGTGCCACATCGGAGAGGGTAAAATGTGGGTTGATCATAAGGAAGGAGGTCAGTGCCTTCTGGGAGGCTTCCCTGAGCTGGTTGTGCATCAAATTTACATAAACAAAACACCATGAGAGGAAACATACCTGGCCACTTAAAAGAGGAAACCTGAGCTCCTCCCTCTGCTGCCATGTGACAGGAAGAGTTCATCAGCCTGGCCTGCAACCCCCAGCCCTGCTGGAAATTCCATGGTGGCTGGGGGTGGAGGGCCTGATAGAAAAGGCATGAGCTTTGGAGACAGAAACGTCCTCCAGCCCTAAATCCTCCATTTGCAGGTTGTGAAACGTTTGGGAAGCTTCTGCACTTCTGAGTCTCAACTGTCTTAATCTGTAAAACGGGGTTCAAACTAGTTTGCATAAGGACTAAATGTGATACTGTGCATGAAGCCTGACATGGAGCAAGTGTTGGATAAACACTGGTCTTTCTGATCTCTGTGATATTGAGGGGTCCATCCCATCTCCCTTGCTCTGCCTAGGCCTCTTAGCCACTCCATATCACCTGCAGGCTGCTCAGAAATGGGTAACATCGTGGCCAGGCCCAGAGAAAGACGAGCAGAGCTCATCTAACAGTTTTCTCCTCCAAACTCTCCTTATTCTTCCATATGTTATAAAGGCAGCAAATCAGAGATTCAGAAGTAAATCCAATTTTCTAACACTTCCAGTCACATTCTGGTTTATTCATTTGCTCTCCCTATCAAATAAAACTTGAGAAAAAGAACCTACTCTTGAAGGTCATCTGCAGAACCTTTCTTCCCCACTCATCCCTGACCCCCTTCTCCATTCTCAAAAAAGTTAGAATAAAAGATAAAGTCTGAAATAATCCATCCCTCATTTCCCTCATTCTAAGTGAGTATACTGAAGCGGTAAATCTCTTAACTAATTGATGATTATTTCACTTTTCCTCTTCACACTTTCACTGTGATAAGTACCTTAATCCCCAAATACCCACTTCAAGTAAGAGGGGAAGTGGTGTAATGGCTCCGAAATGACCTTCCAACATCTATTCTATACACATTCAATTGGCCTTAGGCAATTAACATTTAAAATGACTCTGGGGCCAGGCTTGGTGGCTCACGCCTGTAATCCCAGCACTTTGAGAGGCCCAGGTGGGTGCATCACGAGGTCAGGAGATGAAAATCATCCTGGCTAATACAGTGAAACCCTGTCTCTACTAAAAATACAAAAAATTAGCCGGGCGTAGTGGCGGGTACCTGTAGTCCCACCTACTTGGGAGGCTGAAGCAGGAGAATTGCTGGAACCCAGGAGGTGGAGGTCGCAGTGAGCAGAGATCGTGTCACTGCACTCCAGCCTGGAAAACAGGAGCAAAACTCCGTCTCAAAAAAAAAAAAAAAATCTTTGGTCATTTTGCTTTGAATAATATAGAGACAGTCCCCAATTTAAAACAGTTCAACTTAGGATTTTTTGATTGTTCAATCTTTTGACTTTATGATGGGTTTATCTAATTATTGAGTGCTTTTTCTTTCTTTTTTTTCTTTTTTTCTTTTTGAGACAGAGTCTCCCTCATTCACCCAGGCTACAGTGCAGCGGCACGATCTCGGCTCACTGCAACATCTACTGCCCCCGCCCCGCTCCCACCTCGGGTTCAAGCAATTCTCGTGCCTCAGTCTCCTGAGTAGCTGGAATTACTGGTGCCCACCACAATGCTCAGCTAATTTTTGTGTTTTTCGTAGAGATAGGGTTTCACCATGTTGGCCAGGCTGGTCTCAAACTTTTGGCCTCATGCGATCTACCCACCATGGCTTCCCAAAGTGCTGGCATTACAGGCGTGAGCCATTGCTACCGGCCAACTGCATTTTTGAGTTACAATATTTTTGAGTTGCAATAATTAAAACTCAACTAATATACAGATGCTCAAAGGAGCATCTGTATATTACCCCTAAAAGGTTCTGTATGAATATAATTTCAATTTTAAATGGCCTAAAAATGCTGATATTTATCACGGTGAATGTCATTATAAAATGAAGTCCCTATTATCTAAGTTAAAATATAAGTCTAGCTTTTCACATGCCAGGAGAAATACTTTGCATCCTGGTTAAAGAGAAAGAAAATTATCTTTAAATCACAAAAGAAACATTGATGCTCTCACTGTGGGATGACAAAGACTCTCTCCTTTGACCAAACTTGAACCAGGTTCTTCTGGGTTTTTTGGGTTTTTTTTTCAAGACAGGGTCTCACTCTGTCACCCAGGCTGCAGTGCAGTGGCACAATCACAGTTTACTACAGCCTCAACTTCCTGGGCTCAAGTGATCCTCCCACCTCAGCCTCCCAGGTAGATGGGACTATGGGCACACCACACCCGGTTAATTTTTGCATTTATAGTAAAGATGCGGTTTCGCCATGTTGCCCAGGCTGGTCTCAAGCTCCTGGGCTCAAGTGATCCTCCTGCCTCACCCTCCCAAAGTGCTGTGATTACAGGTGTGAGCTACTGCGCCCGGCTCTGAGTCCTCTTTTTGACGAGGCCTCGACTTTGGGTTCTATCTTGACCTGCTTAGTCCAGGTCTTAGCAAAAATCCTGCTAGGTCATTTTAGTGAAAATCCCCTATCCTTGGTGTCTGGTCCCCCTACCTTCCGTATCTTATCACCCTGGCCTTCTTTCACCAAGAATCCCCTCCAACCTGGATTTTTTCTCTTAGTAACTTTCTACTCATTGACCCACACCCTGCCTCTTAGCTATAAATTTCCACTTCTCCTTGTTGCATTTGGAGTTCAGCCTGATCTCTCCCTACTACTGCAAATTTTCCACTGTAGTGGTTCCTCTTGAATAAAGCCTTCTCTACCATCTTTAACAAGTATCAGATAATTTTTTGTTTGTTTGTTTTTGAGTCGAAGTCTCACTCTCACCCAGGCTGGAGAGTAATGGCGTGATCTTGGCTCACTGCAACCTCTGCCTCCCGGGTTCAAGCAATTCTCCCTGCCTCAGCCTCCCAAGTAGCTGGGATTACAGGCACCCACTACCACGCCAAGCTAATTATTGTATTTTTAGTAGAGATGGGGTTTCACCATGTTGGCCAGGCTTGTCTTGAACTGACCTCAGGTGATATGCCCGCATCAGTCTCCCAAAGTGCTGGGATTACCGGTGTGAGCCACTGCACCCAGTCAATTTTTTTTCTTTAACAGGAAGAAGTAGGGAAGAAGTAGAACTCTGCTGTTAAACTGGAACTGGGAGTATCAGTATGAACTAATAATTTTTTCACAATTATGAGTTTTTTGGGATAATGAAAGTATACATATTTAAATTTCCAAGTTGGCAGCCTGCTAGGAGCCACAGGATACAAGCATGCCATGAGCAGTGAGAGCTAGCTGGCAGGCGTGAGGTGGCCACAGCCAGGTTCTCATCTCTTCCCTGAAACTTGCAGACCTAGATGGTTTCAGAATTAAAAGGTTTTCCAATTTTAGGAAGGTAAAAAGTATTCTATACCATACATTGTACAATACAGGGTATTAGAGAGCCACAACATAGCTGCAGTGAAACACATGAACATTTCCACCAAGTAGGATAAAGACTATGGAATCAAGTCAGTTCCAGTCTGCTTTTGCCACAAAAATGAATTTTGGCAGCAAATATAAGAAAAATAAATTCAATTTTCAGAGTTTTTTGGAGTTCAGGATTCAGAGAAAAGCCTATGATCCTGGAGGGCGATAATGACAAAGTCAGATGCCGAGGTTAGATTAGGGTTCGATTCTTGACTACAGCATTCACAAACTTAGTCGCCCTGAGAACCCATTCCCTGGGATCATCTGAAGATTCTGCAATAATTAAAACTCAACTACCAGCTTTAAATGGTCTAAAAGAACCAAACTTCAGGAAGCATTTTCTTCAAGCTTCCTTGGATTATCAGCCTGTTATAAAACTCATGTGGAAAGAAACTTTTATCTGTCTCTGTATCCCCCATAGCACATACTAGAGTGCCTCACCTATGGTAGCTTCACGATGATTTATTCAAAGAATAGATAATGGCTTCAGAAGTTTGTTTTTTTTCTTTGTTGTTTTTTTTTTGACACAATTTTTCTCTGTCACCCAGGCTACAATGCAGTGGTGCGATCTCAGCTCACTGCAACCTCCGCCCCGTGGGTTCAAGGGATTCTCCTGCCTTAGCCTCCTGAGTAGCTGGGATTACAGGCGCCCATCACCATGCCTGGCTGATTATTGTATTTTTAGTAAAGATGACATTTGCCATGTTGAACAGGCTGGTCTCCAACTCCTGACCTCAAGTGATCTGCCCCCCTCAGCCTCCTAAAGTGCTGGGATTACAGGTATGAGCCACCGCGCCCGGTCCAGAAGTTTGTATTGTTTAAAAAGAATAGCTGAAAAA